GGTGCTGGGCAGAGGAGCTGTTTTCGACGGGTTTATTTATTCTCCCCGGTGCTTCTGTCGCTTCTGGTAGATGCTCGTGGAGGAAACTCCGCTGGGGGTTTCTCTTCCTCTTTGGGTGAAGCCCCTTTCTTCACCTTTTCCGTCGGGTTTGCATAACGTGCTTCGCTTGCTGGCTGCTTATTCTGTCTGCCCTCTGCTCCTTGTCTGTGACAGATATCAACCTTAACTCTCCCAACAAAGGTCTGCTCTCGGATGCCATGACAGATGTTCCCGTGGATAACGCGGCTTCGGCCCGGACCTCGGCTCCCGAAGGCCTGACTCTTGCCGAAGAGGAGGAGTTGAGATCTGAGCTTGCCAAGGTAACGGGGGCTGCGGTTGGGTTCTGCTGGGAAGGAACAAACAGGAGACACAGGAGCCGGATTTTATTTTTTTAATTAGTTTTGCAGTGATGTTACATTTGGATCTCTCAGCTAATTGTTAAAATGCACAAAGCTGGCAGATACTTCAAACACCGTGGTATGTTGCGTTGCTCTTTCCCAGAATGACTTAATTTAGAGCTCTAAGGAAATAAGTGGCTTTTGATGCCATGAGCTTAATCTAGGCTTTTAGCTCCATTTGAAGCGAGAAAACACTCCAGGCAAGTGGAATGCAAAAGAAACTTGCTTTTCCTTAAGAAGCTGAAACAATGGAGCACTTAGGTGCTTTCTTTTTCTACCTTTTTCTCTTAAATATTTATTACACTTTATAGGCAACTCTTTTGGTGCGTATCTGTTTTTGAAGAGATCAGAGTTTGTGATACAATATCCTAAATTTTGGTGACCTCGTAAGGTTTAAAGGTCATTTTATTATTTCTGTCTGAAATGTAGCTGAAGATAATTGCAGCTGTTCTTCTGTGGTCTGTTGTTTCATTTGAGAATCCCATGGTGCTTCTTTGACTTGCAAGTTTTAGCAAGGGAGGACTTTGCTGCTCTGAGTGGCCACGCAGATCTTGCTGCAGTTAAAAGTAGAAATGAACCCGCTCTGCCTGGAAACAACTCGAGAGTACTTTGGAAATGTTGTAAGAAAGGTCTCTGAGGAAAAACTCTTTGCTTTAATGACATCAGAGGAGAAGAATCGTAAGATAGAAACCTTAGTTAATAAGGTTTGGCAACTGATTTTTATCTGCAGTTAAAATGACAATGCTAGGAATGAGTTCTGTTAATTCTGGTGCCATTAAATCACCACTGAATTTTGAGCTGTAGGCTTCCCGTTCCAGCAACATTTGTATCGAGTTGAATTGTTCTGTGTGCACCTGACCTTCCTACCGAGTCTTTATGTTCATGTTAATGAAATCTTGCTAGTTTTGAGGGAGGTAGAAAGGCGGCTTAACTTTCAAAATTTTACTAAATGGTGATTTAAGACAAACCTCTGCCTTTCTCTAAGGTTGAAGAAGAAATTGGTACTCTCAGGCAAGTTCTGGCTGCTAAAGAGAGGCACTGTGGAGAGCTGAAGAGGAAGCTGGGTTTGACTCCATTGGATGGGTTAAAGCAAAACCTCTCTAAAAGCTGGCATGATGTCCAAGTCTCCAATGCGTAAGTGTTTCTTGTGATGCACGTTTATTTAAATATGACTCTCTAGTAATTAATTTCCCAGCAGCATATTCCAGGGCTCTTCTGAGCGGCTGGAAGCTTTTGCTCTGATGGGTATATAGAGTAAAAGGAACTTAGAAAATATATATTTTATTGTTCTTATATGTCAGTGTCTTTATGTCAGCATAAACAGAACGTTCATATCTGTGATCTGGATAAATTGTTGCTCATGCTCTTTTGCATGGTGTTAGAGATCTAGATTGGCACTTAACAGTTCAGTTTGCCCGAATCTGCCCGTTTTTTGAGCTCCTGCTGCCTTGTTCCAGACTCAGGCTCAAAGAGAAGCGCAGGAAGTTTCAAAGCTCTACTGCATAGTGCTAGCTCAGAAGCTATTTCCTGAGTCGTACAGCTTGAATTAAAAAGCCTGCTCTTCCTAGGAAAAAAAATCTGTAATATTAGTGTGCATTCCACAGTCATCTCTGCCTAAAGGTCTGAAATTAGATTCTTCCTGAGCAGGCCCTAAGGGTATGGTCCCTGCAGGGCTGGACAGTGCCAGGAGGCGAGTCAGAGCTAAGTCTGACCCTGCACTTGTGGCCCATGTAAGGGACTCTCCGTACCCGTAGAGATACTGTTCAGTCTGAAACGTCTCGTGTGACTTAACTGGAATTGGAAGTTACTGACAGTGCTACTGCAGAGCAGATGGTTGAGCTGTTCATCTCACTGTTTATTCTTTCCCTTTTCCTCATTTTCCCTCCTACATCCCTGCCCAATTTCTGTTATCCCTTTGTAACTGAAATCTGTGTCGTTGTCTTCTTAAAAAAAATAAAAATAAAAATAAATTAAAGTTATATTCATTAACACTTTCTGTTTCTAGTTATGTGAGAACATCTGAGAAACTTGGAGAGTGGAATGACAAAGTGACACAGTCTGACTTGTGAGTGCCTCGGGCTCCTCAGCAACACCTCCTTGCTCCTTGCTGCGTCCCCCATTTGTGCTGCTCCTTGTTCTCAGGGGTCGATGGGGACCTGGAGGCGTGGTGCAGCAGGACTGTTGTTAGCAGCATGCCTGGCTTCCAGCTATAAGCATCCCTCGGTTGCGGAGGAGATGAGTAAACATTAACTGCTATCATCTCTCTCATGGTCTTGCTATTGCAGAAGAAAAATTCCAATCAGTTACCAGACCACATTTTATTTAAAAAAAAAAAAAAGGCAGAAAATCAACCACATCTTCCCTTTAGCTGGTCATTGGTAGGTTAGTCTGTTGTTATTGAATGTCTTATTAGTGAACCTCTATCTTTACTGTAAAACTATTTCTCTTCTTATCATCAGATGTGGTAGGAATCAGTTTGATTATTGCCTTTCTGTAGGGCCAGAGAAGGTGCCTGAAGGCACTTACCCGTAGATGGAAATAGGGGCTGTGCAAATGCAAATAGGGACATTAGTTTTTGAGAGCTGCCAGGCAGCGGCTCTTCTGCACCGATGTTTATGAACCTTTTTGCTGATGTCAGTACTTAGAAAGCCATGAATTTTAGTCTTTGCTGTAAATACAAGGGGGTGAGAAATGTGGACAAAGAACATCTGCTGGCTACTTCTGTCTCTAGAATATATTCTTTAATTATGTTAGACCTCCATTTGTGTTAGACATGAATCATTTTGATTCCTGCTGCATAGCTGAACATAAGGAAGCCCTTAAATATTTTTCTGCACTGAAGATTCTTCCCCTTCTGTGCCTTGTTTTGAAGGAGGTGATTATTTAGGAAAGAGGAAATGTGAATTGGGAGTATCCCATCATTAGGCAGGATGGCAGTGATCTAATGGAGGAGAGTTCCACTTCTGGGTGAGGTGAACTGCCTGTGATATGGCACCTCTGAGCACTTCTCTGTCTTGTCTGCGCTGATAGCAGACCCTTGTGTTTGGTCTGTGCCTCCAGTGTTAATTCTCACAACCCCTAAGCTACTGGTTTGTATGTAGAGAAACATGTAAAGATTAGTAAATAAGTTTAACAGTTTGTCCAGGCCGTGCTAGGTTGGTAAAATACAGCTTTGGGTGTGGCAGTCAGGTTTTTTTTTGGCCTTGAGCTCAGTTCACTGCTCTGGTGCTTTTAAGACTTAGCTGCCACACAGCGTGTAGGAAGGGAGCAGAAGATGCAAGTTTCAATTCCTGACACCTTTTAAACTGCAGGCTTTGTTTCTTTGTGCTCAGTGTTTGAATGTGCATAAATAAGAAGGAAACTGGGGCTTAGGTGTCTCCTGCCTCTCAAACAACAACTCTTTTCCTTCTGGATCTGAGAGAGAAGGGGGGAAGATACTGTCAGAGAAATAAAGCCTATGATACTGTAAGTGTAAAAGAGACACTAATAATGTGGAAAGTGTCAAAAGAAGCATCTGTCGTGAATCTTGGCACCGTGTCTAACCTCCGTTGTGTTTGTAGATATCTTTCAGCCAGCAGCACACTGGAGGACTGGAATGAAAAATTAACTCAATCAGAAGCGTGAGTGTCTTAACCTTCAGCGTTAACAAATGCTTTCGTGACAGTCTGCTGCCACTAACATTCTGTGCCCCTGCTCACAGTCCCCTGCTTTGACTAGATCTATTGAAATGTTTCTCTTTTCTAGCTTTCACTCTTTTTTTTTAACCCAATAAAAGCCTCTTCTGGGAGAGGGAGCTTTTCCTCAGGTCAGTATTTGAATGATTTCGTTGCGATACCCTTCGAACGCCTGCCTGCTCTCGGAGAACTGGCTGAAGCCGCTGGGTAGCTGAGACCTGTGTGCCACACGTTCCATCTCCAGCTGGCAAGGTGTGGAATAGCCAGACTGACCTCTTCTCCTTACCCTCAACACGTGCTGCAGGGAGCAGGAGCTTTTCTTCTCGCTCTGGTACCTGATGAGAACAAACAGAGCTGGAGTGTCCAAGGCAGCTGTTCTGGTGTGTCGGGGCCCCACGTGGGCTTGAACAGCTTAAACCTCCAGTTGTCAGCTGCAAAGGTCTCTTAGCCATGTTATTATTGAATGCCTGAAATTAAAATCTCATCTGGACTAAATTAGGGAAACATATTATGGAAACTGGCCTTTGTCCTTCTCACTGCATCTTTCCCACAGTATGTAGGGCAATCCTCTACAGTGATGCAGTGGGAGCGGGTAGGCAGTGTCATTGTTTTCTGAACTGATCTAGACCACGGTAAGGCAGCGCTTAGGTAAGCCAGCTTTTCCTGTTCTCTGGAGTGGGTATGAAACCCAGTCCTTTGAGCTGGCTTGTTATTGGCAGTGTGTGTGAGTAGAAGGTTTTCTTCATCAGACAGGTGAAAAATGAGCAGAGATAAAAAGTAGGAGTATCAGAAAAAACTTTCAAGTATGCAGGTCTGCTTTCAACGCTCCGTGTATGTTTTCTACATGAAGAAGATGTAAATTGTCACTTATTTCACTTGCTAAATAGAATGACCTTGGTTTTTTATCCTTGCTGACAGTGTGACTCCAGCAGTGTTTTATCAGAGTTCCTCCCTGGGCGTGCCTGCTAGAATAGAAAACTTCTGGTTATATCTGTTTCCTTGTACTTAACAAGTGCCAGAAATGTGGCGGAAGCATGCTTTTGTAGAGCACTTAGGCCTGAATAGCTGTGGCATGCTAGTTTTCCTGCTTGCTTTGGCTCTAGACAGAGTGACAATTCATGCTGGCGAGGTAGATGCTGAGTAAAATGGGGAGGTGATGGGGATTGAAGGGTAAGAGTCCAACAACATTTCAGAAAACAAAGAGAATTTCTATTTGTCTAAAGCTCGGTAAAGGCAAAGAGTCAAGCTCAATGAATCTAAGGATGAGGTTTTATTCTTGTGTTTTGGGATTCTTATGCAAATGCATCTTCTTTCCTGTTCAAAGCTTCTCTGCGTTATTACTAACAAGCACCCTGACCTGGACTGGAGATGGGCCTGACCCGTGACCTTACGGTGCTTTTGTGCACTGCTGAGTTTCCTGAGAGTTTCCATTCCTGGCCACAGCCTTGCCCTCTGCGAGCAGTGCATAGACAGGAGAAAAATCAGCCCAATCTGTCCCTAGCTCCAGTCTCATTGTAACCAGGACACCAGATGACTTAGACGGTTTGTGTACTTAGCCAGACAGCACAAATGGTGATTGCTGGATAAGAGCAAGTGAGAGGAAGCTGGGATTAATGGATAAAGGAGGATTTGAGGGTGCGGGTCTGGCTCCTCCCTGTCAGGATTTATGGGAGAGGGGGACAGTGAAATATTTGAGTACCACGGGATGAACACCACAGGGCAGAGATCACTTCTGCAGCTTGTGCAGCCAATTGCCTGTTAGTCGAGCGAGGTTTTAATCAGGGCTCATATTTATTACTCCCAGATTTGGATTATTCTGTTGTGCTTTGTGCTGGTGCTAAGGGAAGAAAGCGAGTGATTGTGAATTTAAAGCCGTGGTAAACCTGGTCGAGTCTCTTGCAGAAGAGTAGCTGCAACTTCTAGGTCAGGGCTGAGTGTAGCTCGGATACGTTTAAAGTCTTGTATAACCTGATCCCTGCTTGTCACAGATACAGTTCCACATGTGTGTCTGATGGCAGTTCTGGGTTAAAAAGCCGCTGTTCCTGTGCTGTGAGGTGGCGGTGGGCGTGGGCGCTGTGGAGGCAGGACTAGACTGGCCGTCTGATCTGGCTGCTGCTGTCTTTGCTGTTCTTCCAAGTCTGTGTTTCAGCCGGATCGTTTCCTTGATCTAGACGGCTGCGTCGGCACAAACCGTTGTGCTGGCATCGTGAGGGAGCACACAGGCAGAAGGAGCAGCACGTGAGTGCCAGATCTTCAGTTAGCTTAACAATACTGCTTGTTGAGCGTGGAAAACACAGTTGGAAAATCTCAGGCCTTTTTCTAGCTGAATGCTAAGACACGATACCTGGGAGTTTGCAGTGTGTGCGTGGCGTGGTGGTGTCCCTTGAGCCTGTAAACCATTCCTCTCATCGCTGCTCTCTGCTCAGTGCTGATCTCAGAGTGGAGTGCCAGCAGCTGTAGAGTCAACACGACATACTTTGGGGAGTGTGAGGTCTTCAGCGTTTCTGTTAGGCTGCTGTAAATCAAATCCTGTGACAGGACTCAGTGGGCTGGGGAGGAGCCCGCCAGCTGAAGGCAGGGATTCAGATCCTTCTCTTCCAAAGCAGCTTGGCTCGAGGGTTCAAACACAGTTACTGCGATGGGAAAGGCACATTTAAGAGCAAGCAGCATTAATGCTGACCAATTCACTCCTAAATTGCTCTGAAGCGACTTCTTCTTGCAAAAGATTGTGCTGTGGTGAAACAGTGTCGAGGCCTTGCTGTTGGCGCACACTCAGGTGCTTCTGGAGTCACTGAGTGCAAGAGGAATTGGTCTAAAAACCATGTAGGTTATAGGAATTTTCTTTCAGGAAGAGGGAAGGTAAAGTTGATGGAGTTTTGCCCTGTTCTGCCTAAGTGTCGTGAATGTTCTTGATTCAGAAATACTTGGCTGTGGTCTTAAACAAAAAAAAACAAACAACCAACAAGCCAACATGTTATATGGAATTCGGGTGCTGTGGTGCTGTCTCCTGCACTTCTTTCTGGAAAGAATGAGATGTCAGTCAGCTGTCATCGTGGTACTTCCAGCCTTGGGAGCTGAGGCATGAGAGAGAAGCTTAGGCTGTTTATGATGCCCTTCTCCTAAATATCCTAGTCAGGCAAAATGTAGTCTCAAACTCAAATATTTGGAATAAGAATATTTGGCTTAAATTGTTGAACTTTCCAGCCTGAGTATTTTTTTTTTTTTTAATAACTTGAAGAATGCCGTAAATCTAGATGCTAATCACCAGCTGTGGAGTAGCTTGGAGAAGATGAGTTAATGAAAGGGGCTCAAAGAATCTGTTCCTAAGATTAGTCTCATCTGAAGGAGACAAAGGTTCTCATGTGTCTGTCTTCTCCAGCTCTGGTATAAACTCCAATGTAATCAGCTGACAAATACAAGCTGTCAGGCCTCTTACGTATTGTGGTTAATGGTAACTGATAGGAAACTTCTCTATCAATTTATTTCTGAACTGCGAGTTGTAGAGATAATGCTGGTCGGGTTTTTTTTCTGTACAGCAATGTTAGTCTCCCCTCTTTCCTCCATAACTAATGCTACACCAAACGCTGTAACTTCAAGGCTGCAAGGCTATTATGGGATAAGTTCCTAGACTTATTTTCTCAAGGAGACCAAAAAAAGATAGTTGTAGAGCAAATAGGATATGATTGGTATTAGACTTTCCACATGGATAATCAGGGTGGGTTGGTTTGGGTGGTTTTGGTTTGGTTTGTTTTTTCAAATAATTGTCAGATTTAAGAACATGTGGTCAAAATGGTGTAAAGTGAGTGTATGGAAAGGTTAATCCTACACTTGCTGCTTTTTTAAAACTTCAGGTCTTCGGATATATGCCGGGCTGAAGGGGCTGTTTTGGTGGAGTCAGGGCAGCTCGCTAAACCTAACTTCTTTCCTTTAATATGGGTTCCTTGTTCAAAATGGGAGCGGGGGGGGGATGCTTCTTGCTTTGAGATCCTACCTGTTAGCTCAGTTTACGATTTTTTTTTTTTCTATTTAGTTATAAGAAGACCCAGGAAACCCTTTCCCAGGCAGGACAGAAGACTTCAGCAGCCCTTTCCAATGTAGGTTCTGTTATCAGCAGGAAACTTGGTGACATGAGGTAAGATTTCTGGTTTGTGCTCTGGTGCTTTGATGTCGGTTTCAAACAGTAACGAGGCTTTAGACAATAACTAGGCTTTCTTCCATGTTTCTGCTTAGTTGGCAGCACGTTGCTGTTGATGGACTACCTTATTCTTCATGGCCCTGTAACACTGTAGTTTAGGACGGAGTAATTATGCAAGCTTATTAAAGACTTGATGGGATAAAACTCATTGTAAGGCATTAAAATTTGATTTGGCTTAGGAGAACTGGCGGAATGTTTTTAGCACCCTTCCCCCTTTTATTGTCATGTGGTTTCACTGCAGCTTTTACATCATAGGTAAGAAACTGGTATTAAAGTTTATCTTTTCTGTTCATTACTAGATTATGGAGGTGTGTTTTCTCAGTGTTACTCCTTGGGATTAGAAAGGGGTCATCACCCCAGCGCTCTGTTATGCTTTAAAATGGGACAAAGTCCAGATGCTGCATTTTATGCAGTTTCAAGCCCTGCGTGTCACCTCTCTGCAGAGAAGGGCAGCATGCCTTCCAGGCACGGCTACGTCACGTTGATGGGAAGATAGGAATTGATTCAAGAGATCGTGATAACATTAAAATTTTCTTCTTGTGGTTGGTGATTATCTAGATTCCTTAAGCAGGTGACCGCTGAAGTAATTGCAAACCTAAACCTCTCTGAATGGGAAAGTGGAGGGCTGATTCCCTTGGTTGCTGGCTGAGGTTCTTGCTCTGTGAGTTTCTCAGCTGTACAAAGTTCAAGGTTAGAATCAGTGATTTACCTGATCTCCAGAAATTTAAGCTAAAGTTTACCTCCCCGTTAATGGTGATGTCCATGTTATTCACACAGAGTACCTTGAGCATGTTTTTCCTGGAACTGAAGGCTAATTCTGAATATATATGAACTTTCTAGGCTGCTAAGGCAGTATTCTTAGAGTTTGTGTTTAACATGATGTAACAGACCTTGGATTGAACGGGTAGCTGTCATTCTTTGTAGGGAATTTCCTATTCCACTGTGGCTGGGAATATCCAAGTGGTAAGAACTTGTTGGCCTCTGATTGCACAGTACTGATTTATTCTCGTTCTGTCCTCAGTGAGTTATTTACTGTGTTCCTGGAGGGTAATTTTTGGCGTTTTCAGTAACTCACTTCTCTGAATTTGACAGAGGACTAGCTGGCTGCCTACCCTTCCCAGTATTCAAGTTTTAATTTTTCTTTCGTGGAAACTACCTAGTCATCTGGAAGAAGAGATTTACATGTAATCACAGTAGATTACAGAAACGGGCACGAGATGTGGTGGTAACACATTTTTGCTAAACTGATAAGGGAGGAGAATTTGGTGCCTGATTTCTGCAGTCTGGTCAGCCTGCTGTGGCAGAGGGGTGGGAACTGTGTTTTTTTGGACCAAACGAGGAACTCCCCAACCAGTGCTGCCACCAGAAGAAGCCGTGTTGACAGGCTGGTTCCTGCCTGCTGTCTGCTGGTTGGGAGAAGCCAGGTCACCGTGTGCCTGCAGAAATGTTTGTGCTGTCCCAGGAGCAGATGATGGGGGGAGGAGGGGGTGCAAGGCCGAGTGAAGAGTGTGCCTGTTCGTCCTGGTGACAGAGCTGGTACCACTCAGAGCAAAAACTGGCCGGGAAGTCAGCTCTACAAACAAGTCAGGCCTCCGCAGCAGTGGCATCGCTCGGCATTAATCACCATTTTAACATCTGCCTTCCTTTTTATGGCTAATACCTTGGGTGATGTATTATGAAATAGAGGCAGCCTTCTCTTTTATCACTTGGAAATCCCTGCCAGAGTTATTTCAGCAGGATTTTCTTTGTGTATGCAGCCCTGTGGGGGAACACAGTAATGACTTTTTTTTTAAGACTCAGTTTTTCTGCGTGTGTATAAACAGACATCTGTCTCCTGCGCTGCAGTCAAGTCTTGATATTTCTGGTTCTGAGCAAGGCTTAACTCTGAGCAAAAGTTTCTGCAGGAACTGTCCCGCTTTCTACCCTTGCCAGGTGAAACTGTGAACGGTGCTCTGATACGTGGTCAGAGCTGACGAGGAGGGAAGTCTGTTGTAGCCTTGTGATCACGTTGTGGACAAGCGGGGGTGATCTCTGTCCCCCCAGTCTCTGTTACAGGCCTCGCAGCCTACACTGCAACCTCCGTTACTTCCTTTTTTTTTCCTCTTACACTACAAATTCACTTGTAAAAGCAGGTTTATTTTCCATCACTGGAAGTGTTGAGATAACAGAAGGGATTTCCTTGTTTAGTCAGCCTTCACCGGTTGATAAATGCAAGGAAGGCGTGATGCGTGGGACAGACGCCTCCGATACACGAGGGCGTAGTTGTAATTCCATTAAAAATGCTTGGACCCAAACGCTGTGCAATACAAGGAACGTGTCCCTGGGTTAATTCTTTAGGGTCGCTGTATTCTGGTCAAAATAATTCTAAGTGTTACAGCTGCAGATTGCAAGGAGACGTTGTGAAGTTAATGCGGTAACTGCGCCCTATTAAGCCTGTTGCTCTATTAGCTTGCCTTGCAGGAGAAAATGTGGCTTAATTAGTCGGCGGAGTCTTTTCAAATCTTGAACAATTCAGCTTTTTCTGTTATCTCTGCTTACAGTTAAAAAGTAAATTGTCTTTGAGACGCTCTGTTCCTGCATTTTACTGACCCCAGTAAACTGCAAAATCGGGTGTTTTCATGTTGTTGCTAACACTGCCTTGTGCTTCTGCGTCCCCCAACACGCTTCATGTTGTCTGATGAAGTTTGCTGCTGTGCGTGATACTACAAGCAAATTGATGATGAAATGTTAGCCTGAGCCCCAGATGTCCCTGTAAATTCCTGAATTTATGTAAACATTTAAAATCCTTATGAAAGGAGGAAAAGGGTTACTGCTAGGTCCAGGCCAAGATGCCGAACAAACGAGCCAGTGCTTGTGGTATTGCATACAGAGTAGCATGGTGCATGGACATGTGTTATCTGTATTCTCCTTTAAGCAAGAGTAAGTAGGAAGTTAATTTATTTCACATGTAAAGACAGCATTTCCAGGAGTCTTTCCTGCCAAAGATCTGACTTGGATGCATGAGGGAATGAAACCACAAAGCCTAACGTCTTTGCTCTGGCTGTAAGGAAAAGCCCTTGTACCTCCTTGCCAAGCACTTCAGATCCAACATGCCGTGCCTGCTTCCTGGTGCAGAGACAAAAATTATGTTTAAGTGGAATAAAACACAGGTTCCGTCAGGAGCAGCTCCTTTAGAGCATCCTGGTCATCTTACGGGTAGAAGTAGGAACCCGTGATCGGTTATTTCAGACCGAATCGCACTTGAAAATCTGGTAACCTAGTGGGGGATACTTCGCCTTGAAACCTAAAAATGGGCAACCAGGTTATGAGGTAAACATGATACCTTTCATCCAGATACTCTTATCTTTATTGTGCTGAGATGTGTTTGTTCTCTGAGCTGTAACTTTTGAGATCTGCAGGCTTGGCAAGATAACGTGCAGGTATCCATTGCAGGTTCCTCTTACAGAATTTCTCAACCAGGAGTCCTAGCAATGCTGTCTTTGTACGAGAGCTCATGGGGTGAAGTGGGGGAAGGAGGTATCTTTATCAAATGAGCTAGCGCTTGGTAAAACTCTCAGTTTAAGAAAACAGACTCTAAAAAAAAAAAAAAAATCACGTGATGAGGTAGGTAAAATGTTTTGGTTTGTTGTTGCAAGAAGCGTTTCCCTCCCCAGCACCCTGGCTCTAAGTTGCTGTAGGTGCTGTTACTGTTCTCTGAAAAATGTCTTATCTTGGCTCGAGTTAATGAAAAGTAACTGGTTTTTGCTTGCTTCTGTAATTTATTGTGAAAAGCTTCCTCCTGGGTAGTTGACTTTGCTGTCCCGTGCTCCCGTGACCGTGTCCCTGCTTACCTGCCCTGCATTCGGTGTTTAGACCTGCACAGGTGTCTGACTGTTGCTTCCCTTTTCTCTCTGCTGCCTGTGACTTCTCCCAGGGCTCACCCCTTCTCACACTCCTTTAGGTAAGACCCTCTTCAAAGCTGCTAAAGATCATTTGTTTCTATGCCAGACCCTTGCGGACGTTCAAGGGGAAGCTGATAATTTCAGCCTTCCCTGCCCTTTTGGCACAGATTGGGAAACCCACCACAAACCAGTGCCCTGGAATTGGCTTTTTGTGTCACAGCTGCAGTTAAATACTCATGCTTACAGTCCTACATCTGCAAAACTTAAGTCCTGGGCCGCAGCTGTTAAATAAGGGAAGAGAGGGCTGGCTCTTAGCACTCTGGTTGTCCACAGCAGCCTCTGCGTGGACAGCAAGTGTTTAAAACCCAGGGGTGTGCTGCTTGTGCATGGCGTCGGTATCAAATTGTCATTTAACTTTTTCCTCCTTATTCTGAATGCTTCCGAGTAGCAGCTACTCCATTCGCCACTCGATAAGTATGCCAGCGATGAGGTAACGTAGCAAATACCCGCGTCCCCTGAGTGTTACTGGGTTTTTGGTTCCGATTTGTACAACCGGTTCCCTTCTTAAGCAGACCCCAGGGTATGGGCTGACCACATCCTGCGGTTTGAGTAATTCAGGGTGGGGGTTTTTTTAGTTGTTTGTTTTTTTTTTTTTTTTTTTTTTTACCCCATCTCTCTGGTTTTTAGCACCTGTGTTGTTCTTGGACTAAGGGCAGTGTTGCAACTGTACTAAAGTCTAATAGAAATTTGCAGCTTTCAGAGGTCCCTGAAGGGCAGGGATTACAGCCCTCCTCTCCCAACGTACAGCGTGGCTGTTGCTAATACCAGGATGACTCTGAACTTGAACCCTCTGTCTCCAGCCTGGAAGCTCAGTGCCCTTGTCTGCGTGCCCTTGTGCTGCCTTAGGTGGTGATCTCCTGGCAGGAGAAACGGCTGCCAGGGCTGGGCGAGGGCAACAGAAGCCTCTGTTCATCCTCCTTCCAGACTGATAGAGAGTTATTTTACGGGTGCAAATATAAAGTGATTCTTTGGAACAAAAATAACTGAGCTGAAGCTCGTCGGCTCCCAGCGTGCCCGCAGCTGAGCCTGGGGAGAGCAGCTCTGTGTGAGGAATTGCCTGCTCGGTACAGAGCACTCCTCTGGAACGGTTTGCAAGCAGAGAAGCTTGTCAGGTTGTCAAACAATTGACCTGGTTTTCTTTGCTAGAAATACAGAATCCTCTGATTAATTTATCACGCTGCGGTTTTCATGAGCGTTTTTTTTTTTTTATGCTCGCTCCTGTGGTAATAAAACTGCCCACAGGTACGGGCATGTGGCCGTTCCCCTGCCTGCCCACGGGATGTGACATGGGAAACTGAAACCTTTGTTTTAAACCCTTTTCAGCTTTTCCTTTCCATTATTTAAGACAGCATGCTTTTAGTTGGAAGCTTTGTAAGACTAACAGCTAGCTTCTTCTCTACTGACTGTGCACTGATTCCCTAGTGAGCTAGGACTTGTTTCCTGCAACACTTTACCTTGAGCAATGGAGCAGATTGAACGTGGTAAAAACATTTTTTTGTCCAGAGTTTGTGTGTGGTGTTCTTGTCTGGTGTGCCTGAGAGATTTGTGCCAAAGGCTGAGAGAGGAGCTGGACGTGATCTGGGTGCTGCTGTCCCTGCATGGGAACGGCCAGAGAGCCCAGTCACGCTGCGTGGTTTGTTTTAGCTGAGAACTAACTCATCCTGATTTGTTCTTTGCCTTTTTTTTTTTTTTTCCTCTCCTTCAAGGAACTCTGCAACCTTCAAGTCATTTGAAGATAGAGTTGGGACCATAAAGGTAACAATCTGCTTTGTCTTGTGAACACACAGTGTGAAGCCTTATGCAGAAACTTTAATTTCTGCAATGTTTTTCTTGTAGACTAGTATTCGGGCAAATGGCCTCTCAGATATGTGAAGTCTTTGCTACAGTAGGTGACCTTGACAAGGGGGAATTGGTTTGGTATTCTCAGTGCTGGTTTCTCGTTATCCTAACCTCTCTTCTCTCCTTTCAGTCCCGAGTGGTGGGCAGCAGGGAAAATAGCACTGACAGCCTCCACTCCCCCTCGGGGGCTGGAGACAAGCCTCCGCAAGACAACGCTCCGTTCTAAACCCGCGATGTGGCTTTGCACGGCTGTGCACAACCAGGAGTGAGCCCCCTCCCTCCCAAACCTCCACAACAGCAACAACCTGCGAATCCCAAGAAGGGGCTGAGAGCCAGTCTGGACAGATCCATCGTTCATTCATAGACACTGCTGCTGGATCTAAGTCAAATAAAGAGAATGCAAAGTTTTGTACACAAATAATATTTTACACTAAAGTTTGTAGATTAAATGTATCACTGCTGTCCTTTTGGGAGAGCATGTAAGCTGGAGTTTCCTTAAAGTAGCTCAGAAATGTCACTGGTGTAGATAAAAACAGTTTTCCTTTGTCTGACAAAGCTTGGAACGGATACGTGGCCCTGAGCAGCGTGAGGAGGGCGGTTATTGGAGAAGCCAAGTGCACGGGCTTCTTAGCTTCAGCTTCTGGCTGTGTTCTCCGTTTGGGACGTGCCACGAAGCTCCCAGGCTTCTCCCGTTACTGTTTTCTCTGGCTCTCATTGGGGTAGTTTGGTAAATGGGGTAAACAGTTATTTTTTGGGTTTGTTTTTTTTTTTTTTCTGGGCTCCCAAAAGGGAAACTTCACTTAGCGGCTGCCTCGTTGTTACACTAATGCTCTAGCTTTAACGAAACTAAAAATCTTTATTTTTAAATGCGATGAACTTTAAAGAAATAAAGCTTAAAAAGAGGAGAAAAAAAAAAAAAAAAGAAAAAGAGCTTCAGCATCGTATTAGGGAAACTCTCCCTTGGACTCTGAAACTGAATTGCAAGCCTTACATCACCTTACGCTTTACTTGTTTATGGTTTTTATGTTCTATAGAGAAGACTGCAGGGGTTCTAAAGCTGGATGTTGAGCACTGGAGTTTTGCATCATACAATAGTAGCAGCATGCTTATCAGCCAGTTCTTGTGTTAAAATTTAGTGGCACGCTCCGTTTCCTGAGTGGATGAAACTTGCTTCTCCCTTCTCAGTTTATGCCTTCGTTCTTGGAGGAAGAATTTCTGAAGGCTGCGAGCGCCAGGGCCGCGTTAAAAGGGCCCGAGGTGTCCCTGGCAGCACGGGCACTGTGTCAGGGGGGCTCTGCTCGCCGGGGGCTCCTCGGGCTGGTACATCTGACTGCCCCTGGATGGCTTTTTCAGTCGAAAGCCCCAGCTCTAATCGAGGTTTACAAAACTGGCGGAGTCACGGAGCTCAACCAGTTCCCCCAAGGTGGACTGGGTGGTTTGCTCTTCTGATGTCCAACTTCATTGCTCAGGAGCTGAAAAATTCCCCGTTTTCTCCTAGAGGCCTGATTTATTATTCTAGGCAAGGTGCCTCTGCGTAGAAATAACTTGGAGTGAGCAATTCTGTGCCTTAGAGGCCAAGTGGGACCTTACTCAGGTCTTTAGACTTGCTTATGTACATACCTGGGTAGTTTTAGTGGTTTGTCACCCTGGAGGCCCTGAACCCTCTCTGACCCGTCTTTAGAGAAGCAAGTTTTGACACTGCTCTGCTGATGAATCTCTTGTTTCCCCTCACCCCTGCTCCCTTCCCTCTGCAGACCTGAGGCCGGGGGGGATGAAGTCGCAGCGGGCAGATGTACTGGTGGGGTGTGGAGTGTCATTTACTGGTGCTGCCTGTTTGCAACTGGGCCTCGCTGCGAGGAACGGGGGCTGCTGGAGCTGCCCTGTGGAACTGTTTATACAGATAAATAGCGAGGAGACTTGTCAATAAAGCATTCCTTTGGGAGAAAACGGGGTGAATGTTCTTGTCTCGTTCGAACAGCGCCGCAGTCTGTCTGTAGGGGCGTGTTAGGGACTAAACTCCAGCTGCCTGAGGCGAGAAGCAACTGAAATGTTCTGCTCTATCCCTCCAGCTCGTTTGCCCGTCGCCTCTCCAGATGCTTTCTATGAAGGAATGTACTAAATAATACAGCTTGCTGTTTCCTTCCCCAGATGCCAAACAGCCCCTGGTTCCTAAGACAGGCCTGTGCTTAACCAAGGGTCGGGGAGTCCCCAGCCCACGTTTATCCTCCAGGTTCCATCACGCCGCCCCCTCCCCGGTGCCGGCCTCCCCCCAGCTTCCTCGTGTTGTTTTCTGAGCTCGGAGCATGGGACTGCAGTCATGGCCATAACCTGGGCTGTGGGGGCTGAGGCTGGAGAAACTTTGAATGTGGAAAAGCAGCAGCTGTGGTGCTGGCCCGGATTTTCGCTGTGGTCCGTCAGGGAATCATCTTGGAAGCTCTGGCAGTTGCTACCAATCGAAACAGCACGGTGCAGGGGGAGCAGCGAATGGGTGAGTGGAGTTGGGAGCTGCTCTACAATCCAAAAGGGAGCGGAACGGGGAAATCGTTTGTGAGAGAGGGCAGCAGAGCTCCGTAGCCGCTTGGGTGCGGTGGTGTCAGAGGAAGGATGCCTGAGTTTGGAGCGTCTGCTCGGTGCTGAGGGTTTGGTTTGTTTTGAAGACTGGCGTTGGGTTTGGTTTTTTGCTACTCAACTTCCATGTAAAACTGCATCTCTGCACCTGGGTGTAAGAGCAGCAGGGTTGGTAATGATACCCAGTCCCCGGGAGGAGAGATGCTGCAGGGATCACCCAGTGCTATGCGCTCCCCTGCGAGAGCCCCAGGGGCTTCTCCACCTCCCCAGCACCTTCCAGCCAGGGAGCTCGGGTGTTTTGACGGGAGGTTAATTAAACCTTCCCTTCGGGGTTACAGGCTTGACTGTTTTGGTCATTTCCTGGTTTCTAAGTGTGCTCCGGGAGGGTGCAAAGCCCCAGTTTCCTTCTGGGCTGGGCTATGGGCTGCGGTGTCCTGAGCAAAGGAGAAGGGGGCTGCAGCTTCCTTCCCATCAAAAATCGGGGACCAGGAGCCTTGGCAGCCTCACGAGCACCTGTCTGCTCTGTTGTAACCAGAGGAGGAGGCTTTCACAGGAATATTCCTCTTCTGTTTATCCCCTGCCAGGAGCCTCGGTGGGCCAGGGCTGCTCAGGGGGGCTCGGGGACAGCCCAGTGCCTCCTGCTGCCGTGGAGCCTGGAGAGGATTTGTCCTGGAGCTTTTTCAGTCACTTCTCTCTCCTCCCTCTTTTTCCTGTTGCTTTCCTTAAATGAAACATCCTGATGTTCAATCTACACTAACGAGGCCCGCACACGAGACCCATCAGAGTTGGGATCTTTGCAGGCAGCAACGGAGCCAGCAACCGAAACAGCGTCTCCTCTCTCCCGCTCCTCTGGTTTTACCGCATGATTTTCCTTTTTTTCCTCATCGCTGAGGACTTGCTGGGCCTCTTCTGAAGGCTCCCGTGTTTCGGGGGGGTCCATGCTGAGCGGGTGTTATCGACTGGGGACGTGGTAGCTGACAAGAGGCTTTTCCCGGGGAGGTGTCTCCGGTGCTGCCGCCTGCCTGGGAGGATGCTCCCCTCTCCCTGCACCTCCCGCTCCTCTCTGCCAGCTCCCCGGGGTGATGCACGGGGCTGGGTGACATGGACGGCCCCGTTCCCGACGTGTTTCCAAGCCGGGTGCTCACAGAGCGGCACGTCTGCATGGCCGGGTCCCGCTGCCGGCCTCAGCTGCTGGGGCTGGATGGGTTGGGGGGATAATTTTGGTCTGTAACTGGGCAAGCACCCAGGAAATGGGAGCTGAGAGTCACCAGGGAAGGGAGAGCAGCAGGTGCTGCTGAGGAAGCCCGAAGCCACATTTTGGGGTGTGGTGACACATGAAAGCGACTCAGCAGTCACCATCGTCCCCCGCCGGCAAGCGCCTAGGGACAGGCTCACCCTCCTGGCTTGAAATGAAAACTTCCCGGGGGGATTTGGGATCTTTTTCTCCTGCCTGTGAGGAAGAGGATGGGAATCCTCATCCCAGCAAAGCACTGACCCCTCGCTCCTGCATCCCTGGGAGTTTCCCAAACCCCAAAGCACGAGGTGACCCGTGGTGTCCAGGCAGCGCAGTGTCCCCTGCCCTCGCTCTCGGTTTGTGCCGTAACCGCCTGGTTGCAAAGGAGAGTTTGGGGAAGGCCAGAGCAGGCACCAGAGTCCCTGAGCTGTCAGAAGGAATCTGTGTGATGTCAAAGGAGGGGGTGAGCACCCACGGCCCGGGCAGAGGAGCGCAAGGTGTGAAGGATTCATCGGGAGCGTCGAAGGTGGGGGGAAGCCGGATCGCTCCGTCCTGCAAAGTGGGAACAAGGAGATAAACAGAATCAAACACTAACTGAATCAAAAAATTACTGACTGCAAAAAGCTAGAAAGAGCCATTTTTCTGTGCTAGCACCACGTCCCAACCCTCAGCCAAAACCACAGCAAGTGTTTATTAAAGAATTTGACATTTATGCTTGTGAGAGAGGTTGCACAACTGCTCCCGCTCATCCCCCCAGGAAATCAGCCCCGGGGCTGCATCTCCAGCCGGGAAGGCACCATCCAGAGGCAAGGGCTGGCCCAGGGCTCCCAGCCCGTGGCCCACTCACTGTGCCCCTGGGGTGCGAGCATCAGAGCTGGCCCTGTGCGGGTGCTGGGGTGGATTCAGCATCTCTTCTTGGGTGCAGACTCTGTGCGAAGTGCAAGGTCGGTGCTGGGGAGCCCCGCATGGAGCCGGTGTTTTGGAGGAGGGGAGGTACCGGGTGTCCTCTGGAGGTCTGTGTTGGAGCTGGGCTGGGGGGAGGGATTGGGGGCTGGAGCGAGGAGGGTGTGGGTGTGTGATAAATGGCAATGACTCTGTTGGCAAATGGGATTCATCATCGTTCCTTTCTTTAAAACCTGAGTCAGAGGTTGCAGATGGGAAAGGCCGGAGGTGACACATCAGCAGGGCTGGGCCGGGGCGGTGGGATTGTCTCGTCCCATGTGGTGGGTTACGAGGGGGGGGGTTGAATCTTTTGGGTTCCCTGAGAACCTGTGTGCAGGTGGAAGAGTCGTTCTCAGCTTGGCAGGGTGGGTTGAGTCACGACAATAATTCAGAGGAACAATTGTGCTGGTGACTTTACTAACTGGCCACTTTGGTGAGTGAGTGAAGAAAATTTGGCAACAATCAGCTGATAACCATTGGGGAACTCCTAATAACCCATCAACGATCAACCCATCCCAATTCATATTTGTACAAAACTTATATATGTGAATGTATTTAAGAAAGAGAGAGCAAAAAGAGGAAAGAGAGGAGGAGGGGTAGGAAAAAGGGGAATCACCACCCTTGGATCCCGTTTTGTGGCAGAACAGCCGGCTTGGTCTGTCGGTGGCGGGTTGCCACAGACACACGTGGGGTGTTGCCTCTGTAGAGTCTTTCTTACACCTGCAATACCTTGTTCTGGAAGGTTCTCGGTTTCTCTGGCTGGTACCTGCACAGTGGGGCCAGTTCTGTCTCTGGGCAACAACAAGAGGGAGGGAGAAAGAAACATCCCAGTGCCCCAGCTCCGCGGAGCTCGCTGCGCTTGTCCCGCGCAGGGCACCCCACCGGAGGTGTCTGGGACATCCCTTCACCGACGGCTCCTTGGTTTTGAACGGTCTGTGACAGGGAGGGATGCTCGGGGCGAGCTGCGGTGCCCGGGCAGCCTTCCCACAGCGGCTGCGGGGTCCCGGGACACGCGGGATGGGGGGTGTCGAGCTTGGCCCCGCCGGTGGGAAACAGCGATGTTCCTCCGGGAGCGCCGGAAGGCGGAGCAACCGGGAAAACCGGAGTCTTTGAGCTTCAAAATCCCGTTTTCCTCGAATTGTGAGCGCTCGTTTGGCC